TCTTGGGAAGTTTGCTTTAATTATTTCTGTAAATAGCTTTTGTACTTCACTTGTGTTTACCCCTGCTTCTTCACTCACATTTTTTATCCTTACATTATAGATCCTCTTGTCATCTTCCAGCCTTGTAATGTTAGTTCCTGGTTCCTTGTTATTTTTAAGAGATCTTCCCTTTTGTGATTGCAAGTTGCCAAGCTTGTCTTCAAGATTTGATAGTCTATCTTTAGTTTCTTTCAAGCAGTTTTGCCAGCTTTCAATGGATTTTTTAATTTCCTGGTAATCTCTTTGAGTCTGTTTCATGTATTCTAATATTCATCATTGAAGTTTTTCCTTCTTTTTCTATGCCCCTTCATTCTTCCATCTGTGTCTTCTTGAGAGGTGCTTAGCATTTCTTTTATTATTTTCTTTTTTATTTTATTATTTTTCTTATACCTTCTTTTACTTGTAATACTCTTTCTGTTCTTTTATAGTTTCATGAAGTTGTTTCTTTATGTCATTGTTCTTACTTCAGAAACTGCAGGTGTGCGACTCCTGATCTCTTCTGTGTTTACCTCTCCTGGACTAGTACTGCTTGAGTTGGAATCTGGAGACTGCCTTTTGTTCCTTCCTCTTGTCATGTCCCTGGTTTCTTCCAGACAAGTGGGTAGTGGGGTCTCTGGCATTTCCTGTATTGGTTATAATTACTCTGAAGCATGCTGGATAGGGATTTCTGTTTTTTTCCTGCTTTCCCCCAAGCTGCTGGTGACTATTGGAGTATTCGCAGGGGTGGGACAGGCTGACCCCTCCCTTCCGAGCTGATTAACCACAGGTAGTCTTCACCACAATGTGTGCGGTGCAGGTGGGGTTGGTTAGGGATAGCTTTAGGGAAACCTCAGACTTGGCTATTGGACTGCACACAGGGGCAGGACTCAATCCAAGCAATTTTGACCAATCTGCTCTATGCTAGAAGTGGCTAAATGAAGCCGGTTGCAGTTCTGGTTCCAGGCTTATCCTGCCCTACTCCAAAATGGCACCTGGCCAATTTTTCCATTCCTGTGGGTGTACTGAGTCCCCCACACTGACCACTAGCCAGTGCAGTTCTCAAGTCTGTTTCTCCACTCCACCACTGTGTCTCCCTGTTGAGGCCTTCAGGCTTGTCACCCACCCACTTCACTGTGACCGTGTGTCTCCGGATTCCAGTGGTGCTTCTCACACAGTGATACCAACTTGGGTAAACATGCCTCCAGCTACCACCTTCTGTTTAAATTTTTCTTTTTTTTAAAATTCTCTCTGTGAGCTTTGATTCTCACTTTAGTTTCTTCCTGGGTTGAGGGGACCTATTTGTTTCCTTCTTTTCTTCTCCAGAATGCTATATTTCAGCATCTGGGCTGTTTCTCTCATAGAGGCTATTTGCTTTGCTGCTTATTATTCCAGCATTTTCCTAGAATCCTGTCTGCTTAATTTCTTAACCATATACTTATTCCAGGTATCAGCTAATATTTACATTAAAGGGCCAGCTGAGCATTTTAAGATTCATAGTTCATTCATTCTCTTTAGCAACTTTTTCTGTAGTGTGAAAATATCTGAAGGCTAAGTAAATGGTTGAACACGGTTATGTTGCAATAAAATTTTATTTACAAAAATAGGAAGCGGGGCATATTTGGTCCACAGTTCTGCCACTTCCTCAGTATGTCATTTTATTTCTTTTATTATATAACTTTCTACAGCATTCTCCAAAATAGAACCTCTGGGGTGTATGTTTTATATAGTCTTCCTGGAAAATATTGTGGCATGAAGATTTGTTTCTGTATCTTCTATTCTTTTCACTGGTCTTATCTATTCCTAGGCAAATATTAGGATAGTATATTATGATTACAGTTTTAGGATAAGTACTGATACTAGCATTTTGTAGAACAAGTCAATCTACCTTTTTTTTACTTATGGTCATTTATTTATACTTTCATGTAAATTTTAGGGTTACTAGTCAATTTATAATTGCAATGACTCTGTGCATTAAATTGGAGAGATTTGACTTCTAAGATATTAAAATACATCTTTTTTTAATGAATTTATAATTTCAATTTTAAGGTGTTTCTTTAACCCCTGACCCTTTAACATCTAATAATAAAATTAATTTTCTTTGTAAAACTCTTACTCATTTTTGCTAGTTTGAGGTGTCACAGTGTGAGACCATGGCAGCACAGAAGATGAATGATTGCTCAGAAATGAGACTTAGTTCAGTCACCAACAGTTCCAGAGGGACTATCTTGACTGAAACTGCCCAGTATTGGGAAGACTCTCAGGAGAAGCTCTGAAGCCAGGAGCTCTTCAGCTTTTATTTTGAATTTCAGTGTCAGTGAAAAAAGGAGACAAAAAAGTTAAGGCCAGGAGCTGTCTCAAAACTGGGTAATTTTCTTGGGAAAAGGAAAGGATAATAGCCAGACACAACACGCTTCACTAACCTAAATTATTTGTCTCTCATAGATCCTGTATTCCTTTGCCCTGCAGTTTAACCATTCAATCCTCTCAGAGCCTGCATGCCCCAAAATTTAACCTTCACTCTTTGGCCACATAGGTGCCTCATATTTTAAGCTCCTTTAATTGTAATCTGATTACAGATTTTTCTAACTTATTATATGGAAGTTTGATAGACATTTGTATACTGATTTTTGTATTGAGTTAGGAATACTATCATATTGATTAGCTTATTTCTTATTTATATTATTATAGGCACCTAAGTCAAATAGAAATCAATATATAGTCAGAGACTAGGCTCTCAAAGAAATCAGCAAAAATATAAAGCCATCAGAATTATGACTAGAGGCACATCTAAAAAGACCAGGCCTCAAGATAAAGATTCAATAGCCAGACCTACATGCCTCATTAAAGGATAAACAGTAATTTGGAATTACTGTATACTGTAACTAGCACCACTCGGTCCAGGAAATCCAGATATGCATCAGTCCTCCAGGTGGGTGACTATTGCATCTGGATCAATTCCTTCCCCAAAATACTTTTGTTCTTTTCATGTACCCTTGACACGCTTCCCTGTTTACCTGTAATCTATGAGTTTATTACAGTGTGATCCACATTGTACCCACACTGTGGCTTTACTTTGCCCCAACAAAGGGCCTTGGTGGCAGCTACTTCAGAAATCTCAGGAGCTATCTCAATAAACTGCTCCTACTCTTTCCTCCTTTGTCTTGTGGAATTCATTCTTCAATTTCAAGAGACACAAAGGCAAAACATCTGACATCTAAAAGGTTGGTAGTTATACTTCTATATCAATATATTCAAAGTATGACTAATGATAGTCCAAACAGGTACTAATTTATAGTACCTGTTTCTTTTATCTTGCCTGTTGCACTTTAAAGGAACAGTGTTGAATAAGAGTGAAGATAGTGGATACTTTTCATTTTTTCCTGAGTTTCAAAAGGGAAGGTTTTTTCAAATTTCTTCTGTTAGTCTTTCTTTCTACTTGTGTTGCACATGGACATGTGATACTGTTATCAAACTGAGAGACTCTTCCTACTAATTTGCTATTTTTAAAAATATTTCTTTACATTGTATTCGTTCAACTGCAAAGCTACATTCACATCTTTAATTGCATATTGTAACATCTTTCTGCTTCCAGGTTCCAGATGTGTATCACTTTTCTATTGGATATTTGATTATTATATTGGTTGCTTTAGAGTTTATAGTCTTTGTCTTGAACTTACTGTATTCAACCTTCAAATAATATTAAATTGCTTCATATTTATGAAACAATGTAATTCATTCCTTTTTAGCCTATTATTTTCATACATTTAAATATCTATGATATATTTCCCCAAGTACACTTTTATTAGGATTGCTGTAAATTATTAGCTTTTAAATAAGAAAGACAGTCTTTAAAATTGTGCTTGTAGTTATTGTTGGTAAAGGCTGTCTTGGGTCTATGTAGCCTTTGGCTTCCTTGCTCGGCCCGTGAGAATGGGCCTTGCGGGGCCTGGGTTTAGCAGGAGAGGAAAGAGGTCACTCAGCTTCCTCACAGCTTATTCCGTGTGTATTACTCAGTGTGGGAAGAACTTTCCATTTCAAGTAAAGTGTTCCTTTGTCTTGCTTAAGCATGGTGTCAGTGACTTTCTGGGCATAAATACCTACCTTTCGCATTTCAAACTGTTCAGAAATAGATTCTTGGCCTTTCTTCTGTGGCCTGAAATGTTACCAGAGCCAGTTAGGAGTTGAAGGGGGGACGAAGTACTCAGTCAAGGGATACTGACACACTGCTGAAGGTAATCTGTCTCTTTGGGGCGAAAGCCTTGCTCCCTGTAATGCTTGATTGCTGTGTCTTAATGATCTCCAGAGGGTGGAGTGCCAAGGGCAATCTCTCTAGACCTGTTATTTCCTAATTTAATTGTAAACTCAAGTAAAATAAATTACACTGTCGGTATATCTGCTTTCCTGTAGCTATGTCACTTATTAATGGCAAGCACTGAAAAGGCCTAGATGAATATTATAACACCACAAACACATGAATTAGTCATGACCTTTTTGTTAATTATCAGTAAAATTACACAAATAAGCATCTACCTCAGTGAGAATGCCCTCTAAGTGATCAGAAGGAGCAGGTAGGAAGCACATCTCCAGTAGCTCACAAAGTCTTGCTCAGTCACATTCCTATGGAAATAATAATGATAAAATTTTTGTATGGTAAAATCCCAACCCATTTTCCCTATATGCAGATATTTTTCATGTGTCTGGGTACTTCAGTGATTTTCAGGAGTACATATCACATGTTATAGCAGAACTGGTATGGTTATTGGAAAAATTTAATTATTTCTATATATACTAGCATGAATTCTATTTATATTCAATAAAGTTCATCTGCAAATATTTTAGCTGTATCTTTAATTCTGTTTTGTTTCTATTCAGATAATTTGTCTTGAAATATAGTGTAGTGTTTCAGTAAAATTACGATCTTAGTAATTATCATATTTTTCAATAATTTATTGTGTTAGTAACTCTTTATTTGTAATTTATAGCAAAATACACAGAAAACAAAGCCTATAAATGATCAAACAAAGAAAACTGCTAAAACTGCAAAGAAAAAAGGCAAAGAAAAATCTGAGGATACAGAAAAGTAAGATATTCATGATAACATTTTTCTTCTTCATTAATTTTCTCTGTGATAGCCAAACAGTTTAAGATCATATCAGCTATAATTTTAATGCTTTTTAAAACATTAAAATAGTAACATGTAATTTTATTTTTTTATTTTGGATTTGACTTTTTTTAAAATATTATTTTAAGGAAAAAAATGAAGCAAAATTTCAAAAGAAGATAATAGGAGACTAACAATGGTTAATATATTGTGTATGGTTATCTTTAAAGTATTCAGAGTACAAGATATAAGCATGTAATTGTCCAAACAATATCAGCACAATTTTTCTGTTTAATGAACTAAGAGAAATAAGTGGTATAACTATCTTAACTATTGTATATTTTATATATATATTGTATATTTATATATATATATTGTATATTTTATATATATAATAACTATTATATATACATATATATGTATATACCTATACATATATATGTATATATTTATGGTTTTGTTTTGCTTTGCTTTTCCCTTCATTCTTTTCTCCTTTCCCTACCCCAGTTTTTCTTTTATTTTGATTAGTTTCTTCCCATTTCACAATATCTATTGTATACATTGCATCTTATTTACTCTTTCAACTTCTCACATTAGGAAAACAATATGATGTTTACACATGTGAGTCTCATTCACTTAGAATATGATCTCTAGTTACATCTATTTACCTATTAATGTCTCAAGTTTATCCTTATTTATGAATGAGTAGTTCTGCATTATATAAAAAGGTCATATCTTTTTTTAATCCATTCCTCAGTTGATGGACATTTGGGTTGTTTCATAGAATTTAATTTTTACAAATTGTGCTGCTATAAATATGAATGCACATATATTGTGGTGATAACAATATTTTTAATTCATCTGAAAAGATAAACAGAAGGGAAATAGCTGAATCAAATTAGGCCTCTAATACTTGTTTTTTGAGGAATCTCCACATTGATTTCCACTTGCACCACCACCAACAGTGAAGGAGGATTCCTTTTTCCCCAAAACCCCTCGGTTGATTTCTTGACAATAGCCTTTCTTTCTGGGATGAGATGGAATTTCATTGTTTTTTTTTTAGTTGCATCTCTCAAATGACCAGTGATGTTGAACATTTTTCATATATTTATTTGCTGTTTGTATATCTTTATCTAAGAAGTGTGCCTATTTTTGAATTGGGTCTTTAAATTTGGAAGGTCTGGTGTTTTTTTTTTTCTGAGTCCTTTATATGTTCTTGATATTAACCCTTTGTTTGAGGAACAGCTAGCATATCTTTTCCCACATTATGGGTTGATACTTCACTCTGTTTCTATATGCTGTATTGTTGTCATTTAATTGTAAGAACTATAATTTCATCTTTAATTTTATTTTTGACCCATTGGTCATTCAGGAGGAGTGTTATTTAATTTCTATGTGTTTATGAATTTCTTGTTGTTTCTTTTGCATTGATTTCCAATTTCATTGCACTTTAGTCACTTAATATGCATGGGATAATTTCAAGTTCTTTACATTTACATAAGCATGTTCTGTGAGCTACTACATACTCTATTTTAGAGAATGTCCCTTCTACAGCTCAGAATAATGGGTATTCTGATGTTGTTGGGTGAGGCACTTTTTTGGCACCATGGATCAAACTCACGACCTCATGCTTGATAAGCAAGGCAGATATTTAAGCCACTGAGCTAAATACCTGGCCCAAGGGTAAGATACTCTTTAAACACCTACTAAGTCAGTCTGTTCACAGGTTTGCTTTGGTTCTGACATTTCTTTGCTGATTTTTGGTCTGGTTGATCTATTAGTGACAGTAAAATATTAAGGTGGCTTATAACAATTGTGTTTCTTTGATTTTTTCATGTCCATTAATATTTGGTTTATATAATTGGATGCACTGGTTTGTTACATATATATTTATGATTGTTACATTTTCCTCTTGGATTGTTCCCTTTACAAGGATGCGGTCACCTTCTTTGTCTCTCTTAATCAGTCTTGGCTTGAAATTCATTTTGTATATAAACAGAATAGCTACCCATGCTTTTTTCTGGGTCCCTGTCATATGGAATACTGTTTTCCATCCTTTGACTTTCAGTCTATGAATTTCTTTTTGAATTAAGTGTTGCTTGTATGCAGCGTAGTGCTGAATCTTGCTTATTAATCATTCTGCCAGGCTGTGTCTTTTGATTGGTGAATTGAGAACATTAACACTGATAGTTATAACTGATATGTATGTACTTATCCTTGTCACATTATTTTCCTATTATTGGCTCCCCCACATTATGCCTCTCTATTTCATTGTTGACCTTGCCTGGGGGGCCTCTTCATGGAGTTGTAGTCTTTGTTATCTCTTTTGATAATGCTATTTGAAACATTCTGGAGTGCTGGTTTGGTGGTTATAGGTTTACTCAGGTATTCTTTTTTAAAGTAAATATCATTTATCCTTCTGTTTTGACAGACAATTTTGAATGGTACCTAAGTCTGGGATGGAGGTTGTTTTCATTAAAGTTTAAAATACTTCACTCCAAGCTCTCCTTGAATTGAGGGTTTGTTTATACTGAGAAGTCCGCTGTGATTCTGATGGGCTTTCTATTATAGGTGATGTGTTTCTTCTCTCCAATAGCTTTTAAGATTCCATTCTTTTTTAAAAGAGAATAAAACAAAACAGAATAAAGAAAATCAGAATGAAACAATGCAAGTTATACAGAACTTCAAAACAAGACAACAGAAAGTGAACATTGACCACCTTAATATCTCTTTATTTTCTTCAAAATAACTGTCCATACCATCACACACAATAAAACCAAACAAAACAAAACAGAACAAAGCCAATCAAAATACTGAATGAAAGTATTACATGACTTCAAAACAGAATAATAGGAAATCAGTAGTCGCTACTGTAATGTCTCTTATTTTTTTCAAAATAACTGCCCATCCCACACAAAATAAAATCATATGATATAAATAGACTAAAACCAATCAAAACAAAATGAAGCTTTACAGGACTTTAAAATAAGATAATAGGAAATGAAAAATGGCTACTATTATGTCTCTAGATTTCTTCAAAATAGCTGTCCATATTATCATACATAATAAAATCAAATAAAACAAAACAATAAAACCAATCAAGACAAAAGAATGAAACCATTATAGGAGTTCAAAACAAAATGGTAGGATGTTAATAATGACTGCCATAATGTCTCTTGTTTTCTTCAAAATAGCTGTCCATACCATCACACTTAATAAAATCAAACAATACAAAACATAATAAAACCAATCAAAACAAAGAATAAAAGCATTCTAGGACTTCAAAACATGATAATAGGAAATCAATAATGATTGCCATAACACATCCCATTATCTTCAAAATAGCTGCCCATATCATCAGATACTGCAAAATCTAACAAAACAGAACAGAATAAAACCAAACCTTAAAAAATTATGAAAGCAGTACAAGAATTCAAAACAAGATAATAGGAAATTAATAGTGGTTACCACTGTCCCTTTATAGTCATTTCTTGTTGCATCACTTTCATAATATCAGCTGTGCTTTATTGAGCCCATGGACTCCTTTGATTTTTTTAATACCATGGACATTTCTCAGTGTTAACCTGGACTCCAAACCATTTCACACTTGAGCCTGATGTCCAATTGCATCCGTTTACCTACAAGAGCTGTGACATTATCCTACTTTGGCATGGGCCTGACGGGGCCACATCCAGTGACCTCTATTCAGGTCCAGAAGTTGAAGACATATGAGGTGATTTCCAGTGCAGCTGGGGGAACCTTCGGAACATTGCTCAAAACTGGGAAATATAGAAAATTGACAAAACGAAACACCCAAATGCCATCTCAAACATCCAGCCCATCCCAAACAAGCCAAGGAGCCATGGACATAGAAGAAAATGTAAGCTGTACACCTGAAATGCCTGAAATGATGTCATGGTTTATGTCTGTGTCCCCCAGGCCTCATGAGTTTGAATTGTGCATTTGTTATTCGTTCAGTGTCTAGTGCTTGGATTGATGGTGTCAGTGCTCCACCCACATAGGGGTGGAGCCCGGATGTGATGTAATGACAGGAAGAAGGTATGTCTTTCTTTTTGCTGTTTCCAGCTTGCTGTTTGTGGCCACCATGAACTGCAGCCCAGCCATGCCCACCTGTCTTGGAGCCAACTGAGTGTGGACTGAAACCTCCAAAAACTGTAAGAAATAAACCTTTCCTTTCCCAACTTTGGGCTTCAGGTATTTTGTCTCAGCAATGAGTAAAAAGTGACTAAGACAGAATTTGGTACCGAGGAGTGGGGTCATTTGCTGTGACTATACCTGGCCATGTTTTTCAAGAGGCTTTGGAAATGGCTTGTGGGCGGAGTTTGGAAAGGTTTAGACATGTCGCCTAGATGCATATAGCTGGAGCAGCTTAGGCTGCTCTGTAGAGGAGATTCTGGTCAGAGCTCAGGAGACCGGACGGCTGATAGAAAGCCTGATGGTAAAGACCAGGCTTGGGAGGTTTCTGCTGGAAGGACTACATTGGTCCTTGGACTCCACATGATGTGTGTTATGGCTTGGCAGAAAGTTTGTCTGCATTTTGCTCCTGCCTAGAGACTTTGCCTGAGACTGAGACAAAGGGCAATGGACTGATTAATCTTGAAAAAGAAATTAAAAAGTAATCGAACATTGAGCGTATGGCATGGCTATTGTTGGGGGCTTTCAGCCAGCTTTATGTTTCAAATCAGGAGCAAAGAGCCCATCAGGATAATTTAAAATGCTGTGAATTTGGCCAGAAGGAAAATTCCAGGAAAGCTGTGGATTGTAAAGACAGAATTGAGATTTTGATTGTTGCTGGGAAACAGAGAGGAAAGAAAGATGGCCCCGGGGCATCCCAGGAAGCGGGTCCCCACCCTTTGCAACCTCACAGCAAAGGTGAAATAATTTGGTCAGAGAAAAAAGCTACAGAGTGCCATGGTCCAGAATGGCAACAGAGGCCACGTGAGGTTCCAGAATGGCAG